GGCACGCATAATCTGCCCAGTGGAATCGTCGTTCTGGCTCTCTGCCGGCGGATCCGATCTCACCTTGTTCGGTGATGGGTGCTTCTTCGAGAGAGACTTGACTCGTGTTCAGCATAGAGAAGCAGGCTGACTGACATGGTTACTTCGGTCGAGGGATAATGTGACCTAGCTTGATCTCTAGATCAGCTTGTAGCATCAGAATTAACGGTTGTCTCGCTGGTTTGAATGAAGCGCCCAACAGCCTGGGTAACTCATGGACCAATACACAGCACCCAAACGCCTCAATTTAGATACCCTCGGGCAGGTGTCGGGGAGATATTGGTCGATGCAGGCCTTTACTTTTTAGGGCAGACAGCCGAGTATGTCCACTATCTTCACGGGGAATGGGCCGGTGGCATACATGCCATCGTGCTGTGCATGTGTTCAGAGACCCAACTAGCACGCTTCTGCTTTCATAAAGAGGTGTTTGCATAGAGGAGCGCCACATCTCACCAGCACTGATGACAATTGGTTTCGGACATTTTAAGAAAGGTCCAGGCTCCCCTACTGGGCATTCTGCACGGACTGGGTTCAAGGTTGCCTAGTCCGATGCTTGATGCTGACTGGAGAACGTGCGGGACTCGAGCTCGTGTATGGAGATTGTCGAGATCTATACCTGCTGTTGCTGACTCCAAATTCGATTGCGATAGCGCGGATCTGCTTCATGGAAGCGTCGTATCGGCAATTCACGATTCTTCCTCTGATCCATACTCTCATGCGCTCACTCTTGCTCACACTGTAACCTTAGCACCTCGTATCGGGGCCCGAAACACCACCACGTTGCTTTGACCGAGCTCTGCATTGGCAAGCTGCGCGAACATCGCGAACTCAAACAGGGGATAGGTTCATTCCTAAAATATGCTATTATCTGCTTGGGAGGCTGAGCACGCTCCCATACATGTGTATGGCGACAAAGTTTGATTTATTTGCGAGGTCTCGTTCTTTGGCGAGCGAGCAACTTGGTTATAGGAACATATGTCACCGTTCTTTTGACCCTCAGCCCGCATGTCACGACTGTCGTATGGAGGCATCTGCGTTACTTGCACAACTTGAGAGCCCGAGGGCAATTTGGCAATGTTAACAATGGTCTCAGATCGCTTGAGAAACATGCCAGATCATCAACGTGGGCAGGGAGTCTGACCAAGTCCGGCACAGATTGATGTGCAAATGTTTGCACTGAACACTCTGTTTTCCGTTCGTGAATTTGACTCCTTCGCTGTCGATGCAATTCTTCACCTCATACAGCCTCGGTTACGTCAACACTCGATTCGCGGCGCTTTTACTGGAGGCGTTAAAAGGGTCCTAATGTACGACCTTGGTCTTGCTTTTTGCCGTTGCGAGTTGCCGATGATACTTTTATTCGCCGCCAACACACCCTGTTGTGAAATGCTACCGCTGCTTGGAGCCTCTGATATGCTCTTCCTGTCTCGTGTCTGCAGGCTTCGTGCTGGTGCAGATCTCCTTGTGTCGGTGTTGTGATGATTAGTTTCTGATGCAGTTCACTCCCAAGACCGGAAAGTGCTGCTGGGCTTCACT